AAATAGCTGCGCAGATACGCAAGCGCGCGCAGTGTATCTATACTGAACGTACATATGTATGTAAGGACGAGCGGCCATGTCTCTATACAAAATAGGTATGAATGAACGAGAAGGACATGAGAAGAATGATGCTGCAACATTTTGTAGACATTTGCAGACTCCGAAGAAAAATGAACACAGGGCGAAAATGCTCTGAGCGGCAAAGAGTGAATGAAGGCTGCAACCAAATGGACTACATATTTGACTGCCAATTTATTTGCTGCTCGCAACAGAGCGCAAACGCGTGGAGAGCGAGTTGAGTGCGCGCTCTCTCTTTCTCTCTTTGCGTATTGTATGCGCCTAAAAAGCTGCAAAGCAAGCAACACTCACCACTAACTACACAGCAGCCAGCTGTGTGTGTAGCTGTGTGTGGCCGCACCACAAACGAGCCGAAACAAAATAGGGAATTTATAGAAAAATGTAGAGAAATAGAAATGAAACGCTTAAAAATGGGTGTATGCCGACGCGTAGACGTTAGCAGCGAAGTAGTCGACACAGTGTGCAGCGCTCGTTAGCCTGATATCCAACGACTTAGTCAGTCATGCAGCCCAACAAAAAGGCAAATAGCCGACAGCTGAACGCGCGCCGTAGAGGATCTGTGGCGACAGACAGTCAAGTGAGCTAGCGGTTGTGACTGTGGTTACGGCGACCGCATCGGCGGCGTTGGCGTTAGCGACAGCTTAAGCAGCAGCAGCCACACTGAAATTGGAGATGTTTGCTGCACAGAGCGTCTTCGGCGGTATACAATATCCGTGTAGGTAAAAAAAAAAAAAAAAAAAAAAAAATGATGCACTAACATAGTGCAGCAGATGTTGGAGGCTATGTTGAGACGAGCGAAATGGATTGACGTTTGAAATGGCAAACCAAAATAGCTTGTGCGTTCTGGCCAACACTGAGGCGGCGCTAAATGGTTGATGGTGTGAGAAGTTCAATGGGGGATGCTGTTGGCGGCATGGTGAAGAGTATTTCAAAGAAAAGAAACTGAGGCTGTGAAATGTTAACGCTAAAGAGTTTGAAAAAAAAACACGAAGACCTAAGTAATTTATTCGATGTTTTTCGGAGTTTCTGTTAAAGCGGGGGAAAATCCACCAACAGTCAAGAAAATTTATTTCTTTATTCTTAGTGTACGGCGAAGC